TGACTGATAGTTTTGAATGAATTTCTTTAGACTGCCACACTCTCCCAAAGGGAACCACGAGGGATATGCCGGAGGATAAAAATATATGTAGCCACCGCTAGAAAACGTTTGTTAAAGTCTTATTTCTATGCAGACAACAAATTTTATGTTTGATAAACCAGGCACACCTGGAAGGTGATTAGTGATGTCAGAATTGTTTTATTATTTGTCCTAATCCCTTAAGTTCGACCTATTCCATTATCTATTTTTGTGCAAAATGTCCATAAAACTATACATAACATAACTACTACTCACCAAAAGACATGACCCGCTCTGACGTGCTGTCAGTGTATCATTTTCAGTTGAGTGCTTCTGTGTGGCTGGTAGCGTTTGCTGCTGCAGCTCAACCCAGTTAAATGTGTTATATTCTTCATTACAGCAGATAATTGGTCGCTATATATTTTAACTGACACTAGTTCTGCTCAAGCACTCATAGCTCTCTCCTTTTAACAATGTTGTCACTAATCCCACAGCTCTTTACACACTATTCAGTTCTGCTAGCTATGAAGTTAGCGATGGCTTGTCCTGCTCTCTGTTGCTCTGTGTCAAATGCTTAGCTATTCATCTGCCTCATTTAGTAATGATGGTACATGTAATAAATGTAGTTAATTTTTCATGCTGGATGCAAGGCTTGAATTGGAAGGGCGGCTACACACCACGGGAGCTACATCACTACTTAGTTATCCACCCGTTATTTATCGCAATTGTGATTTATATAGTAGTATATATAATATAACTACTATATAATCAACAGGGGAGGCTATGAGTAGGGGGTATAGCCGGTGACCTCAACCCACACATGCACGGGTACCCGGGTTGGAGTATAATTATTATATAATATATATATATATAAGGGTATATAAATAACATCAATTGCATAAAATCAACCGGTGATAACTATAAGCAGCTAGTACTGTAGCTCCCCGTGCTTCGTTGACAGCCCTAAAAAGGTGATGATACACTCTTTCCTCCAACACAATAATTTAACTGACTGTAATAGAGGTATAAATAACCAGTATATTTAAACAGATAACGATCCACCACTGGAAAAGCAACCCGCTAGAAGGGTGGTGACAGGCTGGTTGCGTGACCAATGTCGAAGTAAAAGCCAGTCAGACAAGTGCAGGGCAGCTGAACCAGTGTCGCTACTTGTCAAAAATGCTAATGGTCAAATGGAAGCAAGACGAAGGGTTCACTGAAATACTTTGGGCCATAAAAATATATCCAGAGAAAGTGATGCATATTAAATTTTTCCCCATCAACTAAAATCTTATCTGACCAAGCTGCGACCAAGCCATCATCGTTAATTGACAGGGGTCTCTTTATATCCTTCCACACATCCATTTATAAAAAAAAAAATCCTTCTTTCTGTTTACGAGACGGTGGACAACCGTTTATAGTTATCTGGTGTAAGCCTTGTGGTGGGAAGCAGCTATATACACCAAACAACTGAATAATTACTTTGAAGATGTTAGACTGCCTGCCAGTAGTTGTTATTGGAGCCCGTGTAATGCATTATTAGTTATTACTGAAGTGTCAAGTAAGTCTGATAAAGCCTGCAGGGTTCCAGGGCAAACTCCCCATGAAATAAGCCTCAAGGTAAAGCTCAGAGATGCCAAATACCACTGTTGGCTGTGAAGGGTCGCAGGTCCGCCAACGCCCTGGCACGTGCTCTGCCGCCGCCCATGCTGGGAGCCGAGGCGCGCCACGACCTCCGGACTCTTAGGTGCACGTGCACAGAGAGCGGGTCAGAGCACTGCCGACCGCGGAAATGCGGGATTAGACAGCGACTAGAGCAGAGACAAGACCTGATAATTACCGACCAGGTGGGTGGTTGGCACCCGAGATGAGAGCCACCTCGCCACCGGTGGGTGTGCACCTGTCAGCACCACAACGTTTGTGGTCCGGTGTGTTCTGGGGGTGGGCATGCTCAGCGCTGTGAGTGTGCGATGAGGCGGCCCGTCCACTCGTGTGCGGTGGAGTTGCTAGACACAGAGGTGTGCCCACGCCTGCCGCGCGGAGCCCCATCCGCACTGAGTACAGGCCGCAAGCTGCGGCGCACGGTGGAGCCACGTGCGGGCCGGGCCGCGGCAGGTATTGGCGTAGCGCGCGAGAGCCTCTGCAACCAGAGGACGAGAGACGAGCGGCCCGGCGGGTCGCGCGCAAGTGTGGCGGCACGGCGCGCCCGGCGCCGCACGGACAGCCGAGGCCCAGGCACAACCGGAGGGGAGGAGCAGAGAGATAAGACATACTTAGTTTTCATCTGAAACATACTGAATACATGTTTTATTCATGAGTTCAGAGTAACTTTTTAATAATGATCTGACAGACGGGGCGTGAGGAGAGGCGTAGCTCGGCACACGGCAGCAGAGCGACCGCGCAAGCGGGCGAGAGATGGGGCACTGGGGCACCAGTGACACAGGCGGGGCCGCAGAGACGGACCAGGCCAGGCCACCGACCTTGACAACCACCACTGACCTAATTATCAGGTCTTTTGCCTTTCCAGGAGTGCTGCTACTCTGCTTTTCGGTGCGGTGATCTTTTGATAGTTATATACTGGAGTCCTCGGTGTAAAAAGCCAATGGCAATGCAATTGGCAGCCAACCCTTACCAAAGCTTATTTGAACTTCTAAATTTACCGTGCAGCGCTCGCTATCATGAGTCTCTTGGCTGGAAACCATTATCAACCTACGTGGAGCACT